GATAGTATAGACTAGTATAGATTTAAAAAATATCAGATAGGTAATACCCATCTATCTATATTATAGACCGTGGTATAGATGTTTCCAATCATACATGCGAAACTTTACTATCATTAGGTATAAGTTTAAACTACAAAAATCTTTTGATACGTAACCTATGTAATGTCTGTAAAATGAAAAATCGTACGGTTTACTCGTACTTGACCTCAAATTCATACAAATTAAAATGCAGTGACATCTGTGAGGTAGCACTCAGACCTCTTGCCTTAACATTTTGCGTATAACGAGGGGAACGTAAGGAACCCCTCTAAAATATAATGCGCGTCGACTCTCACAGATGGTAGCACTGCTCGTTCAAACAGCGGGGCCACTACGAATCGAGATATCTGCTTATTCTGCTCTACCTGCTTCTTTCACCCTTGCGAGCATCTCACGATGTGTGAGAGAGAAGGTTAGAACTGTGATACGGCGTTGTGTTATAGAGTAGCCCCTTTGAAGCGACTCCAATATTGTTTCCCCTTATCAGGTGTTGTGGATGCTCTTTGGAGGAACAACATGTATGGTTTTTTTTTATATTATAAAGCTACAATAGAACTAAATATGTTAAAAATTGAAATCTGAGCAATTTTGATGTCGGATTAGATAAGTGTCCCTATATCATTGTTTAGGCTCTTTTCCTCCAATATTAAATTATAGGTACTAGCTTTTCCCATGACGTTACATGCGTAGATGTTTATTGCTAGGGTGATCCATAAAAATATAATCGAAAGATATTCAAATATCTGCCTTAATTTCCAGCAAAATCCGGCTGTGACCATGCTAGAGCTCCTGCATACTATGCAGAGTCCATCACCACCGAGAATGGATGCTACGGCACCCGGTGCCAGACCTGGATAGCGTACATGATCGGATGGTGCGAGATGGTCCACTCTGAAGACGTGCTGTTCGGCGAATATGTCCCTCATAAGTATGGTTCAATTTATATCTAATCCTTTCCTATCCTAAACGCCTACTATTCTAACTTCTTCTGTTGTGTGATGTCACAGCTCTAAGATTAGGTCTATTTATATTTTTAACGACAGACATTTATGAGGTCTTCAAAAATTAAACGTACTCGTACATCCATTCCATTCAAAACAAGTAATTCTTAGAACCAGTATTTTGTTACCATCTTAATATACGACAACTTCCGGGATTATGTAAAATCTAGACTCTAGAATCGCCATTTAATGTAGCCTCTGTGGTTGAGGTGAAATAAGTAACTGTCTTTAAAAGCCAACTGTGAGAGCAATGTATAAAATGAAAATGACCCAAAATTCTGGAGTTAATAAGATATCAGATATGTCTGTCGTACAGGTATCGCACACTGATTGTTGAATCAAACAAGCAGAATTTTTAATCACTGTCAGCAAAGTAACGACACATAAAGGAACTTCTCTATGGTCTAAACAGCTTTATTAATTAATCTTAAGACAATTAAGTCAAGTAATCCTTAGAATGTTCTTCGAACAAGTGCAGGCAACGGAACACTTCCACTTTCACCGTCCGTTTCCCCTTTTGATTCGGCCCCACTTCCACCGACCTATGTTATAATTGTTACCTCACTCGGTTACAAACAGCACAAACCTGTATTCAGCACATTGTATATTCAAAGGTGCCATCAGAGAAATGGGCACTTGTCTTCGTATTGTCTTTGCTATCTCTGAAATGTATCGCATTGTTTCAGTTGTCACATATTTGTCTGATAAAATCGCGTTGAACATTAATGATTTCTTTAATAAACATACAACTATTTTTAATTATTTTCATTTATGCTTAATGGTTCTCCTTT